TCACGTGGTAATACTGATAACACGCCACGAATAGTACACTTGCGACTGAAACTGAAAGGCAAAGTGTGCTGACAAGCTACGGGCACTGCCCTCTCGCCATGTTTATGTTCGGGGTCTGCTTGGGTCACGTGAGATAGACACGGGACTTCCGGTGTGTGGCCTGCCACATCGAGGCCTGGTAACTATAGCGAACAAGGAAACATTTAGCAAATGACCATCACACAAACTGCTCAACTTTTGAGAGAAATGTTGATATGTGGGAAGCTTTCTGGCCAACATACACATTACAAGTAATCTGGCCAACATACACATAAGAAATAATCAGTTTGGTAAAGTGAGTGAGTATGGTTTTACGCCGCTTTTAGCAATATTCCAGCAATATGACGGCGGGGGACACCAGAAATGGGCTTCACACATTGTACCCATGTGAGGAATCGAAACCAGGTCTTCGGCGTTACGAGCGAATGCTTAAACCACTAGGCTACCCCACCTTCCCAGTTTAGTATAGTAGATTTTTTCTTCTTTGAGGGGCATTTATAAGTTGGAGTACTAAGTAAGGATAAGATCTTTGGGTGAACAACTGCTTTATCACAATTAGGAACAATTGTAATAAAGAAGTTGTTCATCCATAAATCTTATCCTTATTACATATTACATTTTGCTAAATAAGAAGAATATGCTCATTAAACGTGTAGTATAGACAACACGTTGTTAGCCTAAGAATGCAGAACGTTGAAATATATTAATAGTTTCAAGGAAGGTTGTATTAGTTATCACATCCTTGTTCTGGTGTAGCTTTTGCGGAAATCTCATGATGTGGCGTATGGGGAACAGGGTGGGCAATCGATTATTGTTATACAAACTCAGATCAAAGAAAACAATCACAATGTCCCGGGCAGGAAATGGGTAATGGCTATTCCACTGCTCTAAACATAACTTCACAGTTGAGTTGACCGCTAGCATAATAAGGAAAATAAATATGGTGGGAGTGGTTTATTTAAGTCAACATCCAGCTGTCGAGACGATGGGTAAACTGATACGTGTTGTCAACAACTAGCTACATACACTATTTGCACAGGCAGCATTCTCATGACCGTTGCAGGAGACCCTAACTTATATCTGGATGAAGTTACCAACCAACTGCAGTAGCAAAGTATCATTTATTATGAGACACGGAGTTAATAAATTAGTTAATAAATCGGCGACACTATAATCTTAATATTATTCAACCCTGTGACACTGGCCTTGACAAAATATAAGTTATTCCAGATATATAATCTATGGAAGCTGCCGTCATCTATTGGAGTCATCATGTAATATGTTGAACATTATGGGCATCGCGGATATCATCCAATGACATATTTACTACTACTCGTGTGCTCGTGAAGGCTCGGTCTGACAGTGTTGTTGCAACACGCAGCTAACACGTTATATCCTCACAGTGTGATAGGAGATATATTCACCATGATTTATAGGACAAGCTACACAGATGCTGTCTCCCAATATGAGATATGGCACAGGATTGGCAGCAGATGTCGTAGATACATCGCCAAATAACCCAGGACAAGAGTGGCTCTTCCTTTATCCCGCCCCCGACTCTACTCGAGATAATACTTTTAGAAATAGTATCACATTTTAGAGATGCGTTTTACCATGACACAGTCTTCGTGGGTTATTGCACACAATAATACTAGATAACATCGAAAGTAAACAGACTTGTTTGCGAACAAGCAATATACCTCAGCGGTTGATTGAATCTACATGACCATAATACCTTTCTGTGTGAGAAATCTTATCTCGATACTTCCATCATACGTCGGTGCCGCCATTACAAGAATGTCGGGCCAGTATGAACTGCGACATTTCCCAGATTCCGATCACGAAAAGACCATTCCGAAACCTTCCCTTACCATTATTTCTCCTGCTGGGTGGTGCCAGACATATGTACCAGATTTCATATTCAGGGAACTATTTTAATGGGAAATGCTCGCACATAATTGAAGGCTATTATCACAAACGTTAGATCTGAGCTGATGGAGTCCACAATCAGCTGTTCGCTCCTTATCACACAGGTAGGTAATTGAGGCCGGTACATGTTTCACCACCAGTGTGAAACTTTGCACCTATCCTTCATATACAATGTACTCGGTTTCCGCCTCTAAAACAAAAGGGCATGAAGATGAACGTATCTGAGTCTGGACAAGACAATCCAGTGATTGATACGCAATTGGGATATGATGACATTCATCAACCAAGTCAGCGAGCCTGACCACCCGATCCCGTTAGTCGCCTCTTACGACAAGCATGGTTGCTGAAGACTAATTCTACCCGGATCTTCACGCGTCGGGGCGCTGTGAGACGATGACCTGTACGTCAACGGTAGGCTGCGGTTGAGATGACGGGTGAATCAAGCAGGAAACGTCCTCATCGTCATCCCACACCCACGGCTGGATTCATCCATCCACAGCGGGGTGACACTCCCGGCGTTCACTGAACACATCTCTATGTCTCAAAGGTGCAATCATCACAACCAAAACAACTGGCGCTCCATTGTGCTTTGTTTATCAAACACCTATCTGATGAAATTATATGTATTAATTTCTTTTATTTCAAGCCATACCCACCAACACGCTCTAAAACAATTACACCGGTCTATCAACGAGCGATCCCCTTTAAGACAATTTAACGTATCAATAATAATAACTATTAACTATTCCGAATATTAAAGGCCACTTTACAAGCAATATTCAGCATAAGCGAATGAAAGGGTTTGCAAAGAATCACATATGTACCAGTTTTCAACAACTTTCTCATTTGCAATTCGCCAGGATGGTGTATATATTTAGAACTGAATTAGCAGCACGTGTAACATCTTCTGTCAATGTGTAACAGCATTGAGCCACGCAATGGATGCTGACAGAGACTTCCATGTTCCCGGATTGGGTAAACGTACTGTCATCTATGTCAAATGGTAAGTTAATTGCAGTTTCTAATTACACTGGTGATTAATTACAACGGCACAATTACAACCAGGGCGGGAACAACCCAGTTAGCACATATCCATCATTAATCACCACTTCACAATTAGCCTGCTCTGGGGACTAATGGCTGAGCGCCACTCGACCGAGCCCCGAGTTGGGAGCGTTCAGAGCACCGTAACAGCAGGAGGCACAGCGAGGCCATTATGAGGAATACTTTAACCATAACAACAGTTCCTTTCAGCTAACTCCCGATCCCGCGACGCACACTTTGTGCCAATAAGGAAAAGTTTACTCCGGTATATTGAGGGCAGGAGATACTACAAATGCAGGTAAATAGAGTATGCACCGCGTGCATAACGCTGTTCGCTGCACAGAGGGGCCTTGTTAGGGTATCTGGGGGGCACACCTACGCTCAAACAAAACTGTGTGTTCAGATAGGAGGGGGCAAACACGTCTCCGGGAGGGGGCAAACATGCATGGGACTTCTCCACATACCTGACCCGGCCTCATAGGGCAGGGCTCCCTACAGGTGTGAACACACAGTTAAGAGCTTGTATTGATAGGCGGGGGTGACGTTGGATGGACAAGGGTATTGAATATGGCCGCTTCGAGAAAGACGTTTGTAAATATTTTGTCTTCTGATGTCAACGGAGGAAGGAGATAATCTGTCACTTCGACATCATGGATCGTGTGACCCGACAAGGAGGAATTCGAAAATAAAATGACAAATATAATAATTTAATGAAGTTTGACCTTTTAACTTACAATCACAAAGAAATATCCGATTTTGATCACACAGACACACATTTTGGAAATATTTCCGCCTGTAACCCTTCCTTCAAATTGTGCCTGGGTTAGGGCAACCTAACCCTAAACTTACATGTTTTTAAAACTTCTAGCCAGGTGTTATTATTTTTAAAAAATTGGAGGGAGGGCCTCCGGCGTGTTACGTAAAATTTAATCAGTATCTGTTAGTTTTACTCGGATATCAGCACTGCTTGAAACTGTCAGCCTCCAGTGATGAAGTACATGACCCGCTTTAGTTCAAGCATCAAGTACATGACCCGTTTTAGTTCAAGCGTCAAGTACATGCCCACCCTTCTCAGTCCAAGCATGAATACAAGCTGTTTGTCATCAAGCATCACGCCCCGCCCCACCCGCCGATACCGAAAGCACAGGTTCACACAGATGCATGTACAACAAGAAGATAGATTATTGATTTCTACCTCAGATGACTCAGTTTGCCATTACTGTAAGGTATGTCCTAACCAGCACTTGTGCAGGTGTGTTTGTAAACACCACACACTTAACCATCATGACTAATTCAGTGACACTCAAAACACCTAGGTATCGTTATGCTCTGTTGGCGCCAGGTAAAACGTTTACAAATTATATAACCCATTTTTACAGATTGGCACATATATTGTTTAACTCAATATTTAACCTGTCTCATTTTTTTTTTTTAAAAGTCTTGAATTCTGAGGCTTTTAATTGTTGTGTATTCCAAAATTCTTTAGAGGTTTGTTTACAGGAAACGTATTCACTTTCTTTCCATGTGTACAATTGGCGATCCAGTTTGTTGGAATAGCCAGGTAAGCCTTCCCATCACGCGTTGTAAATACAGGTAAACCGGCCTACAGGATGTACATGATGTCTACATCGCCAGTGTCGTCTCGGCTGAGGTTGATCGGTGGGTGTCAACACACTGACACCACAGAATGTGTCTTGAACGCTACCATGACGTATACCCTCACCTGCGTGCAATTCTACCTGTACAGGTAGGTCGACCCAGGTGCTCGTCTACCTGAGCCCTAAATACACATTACTTTACCATCGGTGGATACAAATTACATCATCCAGCCTCCCGCCCGTCTCACCCACGTGTCACATTCTCCCTAAACAATCAGTACCGAGATCCAACAGTACAACGATGCTGAAGCCTCGTTATGTCACACCTGTAAACCTACAAGCCTATGTGTTTTCCTGTAACCGTTAGGGGAAATAAAGACTGTCACCTACCTTCCCCAGTAGCCTCCCACGGAGATAGGTCGTGTCAGTAATAGAATCATATATGATACAGCTGGAATCGAAATGATGATTCACATCATTCCCCTCTGAATTTCCCCGACCACCCTCGGGCCTTGTATTCCTGGGTCGTAGTTCCTTCATCGGGGGTGCAGGTACCACACGCACTGGTAGCACATCAACAGACATCTAAGCTGTGCGGTGATGGGCGGGGCACAAAGGGGCGAACTAACACACGCACCCTCTCTGCATAGCACGCTAGACACAGCTAGATGTAATACTCCACTGTAGGCGAGATACTTCGCCGATCAATAGGCAGCCGTACTAGATCCTATGTGTCCAATAGGAAAATAGGCTCCGAATCTGAAATAAATAACATCATTGTTATAACGTCTTCAACATGTATGTATATTTACTACTATCACATACCAAGCACGTTAAAGTATATATGGAATTTTAACACTTAACATTTCTGTTATATACAACCTACCTACACCGTCGGGTAGACTATGCAAAAGGGGCGTGTCCTCGATAAAGAAACTTGTGCTGGCTTTCTGTCTGGCACCAGACACAAGTCCATTTAGGTATACAAATGACACAAGGACGGTTCCCCTACACAAGACCTGGCCAGTCGGTTGCCTAAAGGCCTGAAATACATGCCCCAGTGTGGTGAACATTAAGTTCCCGAGTCACTGCCACAGTAGCTGGCTATCTGGTGCCCCACCAGTGTCGGTTGAGTATTTATCAACTCTTATCAACCTAACCCTGATATTCACGGTAACTGCAGCTGCCTGCATGCTAGCCAACATGTAAACCATGCCTCGACACATTCAACACCAATCTCTTGAAAACTTGAAAACTTTAGCGACAAGCTCCTTGAAATATTATTCCCCATGAGTAAGTGATAAACCCAAATCCATGCGATCGAATGTCTTGCGAAAATGTGTTAAACAGTTATTAGCTACAAAAAACATATGTACAAGATGGCTTGCTTTGGACATGTCTCCTACGCTTGGCCACTTTTATTTGACTTTTTAAACTTAAGTATATGTAAATTTAACAACAAACTTAACTTAACCATTATATCGATCCAAGTCTAATTATCATTCCACTCTACAAATGATATCCAAATCGTTTATTCAGTACCACATAAAAACTTCTAAACGAGCGTGTAAAGTTGACGAAGTAACAAGTCACAATGTCCCCGACGACTGTAGACGCCCGTAGCATGAACAGGGGACGCGATTTGACATTTTCGACACGGTCTCTCTGTCCTCGACATAAGTTTACACCACAACCAAAACTAGCGTTATAGCGAGTACTCACCTACATGTATATATCCACTGAGCGAGAGGAAAGCGTATGTGTCCCGTGTTATATTCCTATATATTGACTATGAGTGTCCACGCTTGTCAGTGGTATGTCCTGAGCTTGAGACCAGTCTGTGACGTCTACTCCCCACTGGCCTCTGCGAGTCTATGTCTGACAGCGTTCAGGTAGGTCGGTCGCCTCTCTGTGGAAGTTTTGAATGTGACTGTCAGCTGAGTGCTATTCGTCGTCTTTCAGTCCGGGCCTGCTACGTCACACTTCAACACACTTCTCACGCTCTAAAAATAGACTAAGAGTTGACAACGTGACCTACTATCGGGAGGTTCTTTGTCTAACTCTCCTGGGTAAATTACGCGCTGCAGCTATCCGGGAGCCAGATACCTCCTTGCATATCAATTGATAAAAGGTCTCAACAAATTATAATTGTTTGTGTGCTATATAACAGCCCTGCGTTAATGCTAAACAATTAAAAACCTGTTGGAGTTTGTTACTCCATATAAGGAAGTTTCCGTAGCATATCCTTATATGGGCCCTTTACGAAAGTTACCGAACGTATTCGGCTTGTTTCGTTTATCTTCGGTACTAGGCGATTCGCAAGTCAGGTTTTCAGCCAAGCGTGTCGTTATACATAGCGAGAACACTGAGGATAACCAGGTCATCAATCTTATTAACATATTTACCGATTTATAAAAACAAATCTACCATTACAGTACATCTGAAGATGAATTCCTTTCCTAGTTAAACATATTCTTATATTTTGAAAATTGAAATAAATACTTACAAATCCATATTTTTACTTTTCTTATGAATTATTATTCACACCATATAGATTTGACACAACAATTAAACGTGTTCATTTAGACTTTAATCTGGAATGAAATAGCGTAACTTTAGATGTTTCTAACTCTTTCTTTTCTTGTCTATAATGCGCTTATAAGATTTCCCCCCACATATCTTGTTTAGTGTTTCTTTGGTGTGGCGACAGACCAGCGCCATTCAGACAGCCTGCCAGTTAACGTGGTTACGTAATCCGCTAATCTAGTTGTCGGTGTTCTCGGGTCGCCACAACAAACCCACACAGTCCCGATGATCAACGAATCTTGAAAATAAAATAAAAATCTGCTTGGAAAATTAATGTAACTGAAATCTAGATTTGTTTGTCATTGTTTATGTTAGTTTAATGTAACTAGTGTTATTCATTGTTTGTGTAGTATCTTTGTAAAACAAACTACATTGTGTGAAGTAGTTGCTCCGCCTATTGTTGTGTGATTGACAGGTCTCGAGTGGTAGTTACTTTTGGGAGTGACACAGACGACTTGATGACAACTTGCAGACTTCTTAAGAACACAAGGCATTAATTCCTTGTTGATGTACCCAGTTTGTAGATGGTTTTATGTCCTCTTACTATAAGATAAGATTAATTGTATATTGTCGGAAGGCGCACGTTAAATTCCTAGTTTAAGTAAAATATTGTCATACCCTGAACTGTTCTTTTTAACTGCCAAGACGTGCCATAATGTCTTAGAAAACGTGCTGCCAGTTTATTTATTTATTTATTTATTTATTTATTTATTTATTTATTTATTTATTTATTTATTTATTTATTTATTTATTTATTTATTTATTTATTTATTTATTTATTTATTTATTTATTCCCCTATATTGTAATTGTTTGCTTTATCAAATACCCTTAGTTCATAGGTTTTTTTATGCATACTAGTCTCTCGTTATTCCGCATAGAATGGCTCAACTTGTTTTAGGAATGTATGTGGTATATTTTTATGTATCAAATGTTGAGGTGAGACTTTAATAAAATATTTTTCTGTCTATAAAAACAGCATGCCATTCATTCCCCAAATCCCCTCCTCACCAGTCTATGTGATAGCAGCAGTGAAACTATTTAACATCAGAATGAAATATACGACATTTATTTTTTGAAACTGAAAACGAGTCACTCTCGCCTAATCACATAATTTTCCTGACAAATCAAATCCTGACTTAAGAATGTGAGTTTCGAGATAACTCACATGTAATAACAGAGAATTGTTATTGAACTTATGAGAACAAAAATTGTTTACTTTCCGCTTCAAGTACATTGCCCCGGTGAAGGTCCTGCAAGAGTTTCCCGTGAGTCGACGTCGACGTCCGGCACGACAGCAGCTGCTTCCTCACCGTCACGACATCGCCAGTCATTTCCACTGCAGTCGCAGTGAGGGAAAGTAGGTTTGGTACTGGTAAACATTTCACAAATTCAACCACAAATATTGCCAGACTACGTAAAACATACATAACTGACAAGGTGCTTGTGGTTATTTCGTAATTATCCTTAAGTAAGAAAAAATATGCCATTGTGCACAGTGACATACTCTACTCAAAAGAAGTAAATCACCACCCGAATCTTTCATATTACTATGGTTGATCTGTTAATATGAAAGAATCTATGTCAAGACAGAGTAACTACAGTACCATGAAAAGAACCGAGTGGTTCTTAACTTCTTTTGAGTAGTATATATTGACTAAATAAGAACGTGCGTTACCCGGGAGATGAAGGTGTAGACATGTTGAGGGAAATTATGTTGTTATTGCTTCTGTAAAACAATGGTAGGTTTGATAGTTTACAAATATTTTTTGCAAATAATTGAATATACTACAAGGAAGTGTATGGCTTCAGTTTCATAAACTGATGTGATATATCCCGTGTGTGCAGGCTCCAGGCAGTGTCTCGTCATTGCCAGTGCCTTCGGGAGCACAAACAGCGAGACTGATAAAGGGACGTAACTGTGCAATACTTCCTCATCCTCCACGATTCTATGTTCTTGCTTTAAATGCGAGATCAAATCCTATATGTACCGTTTTGCAAATGTACCCGTTGTTTTGAGGATCGTTTTAAGAAATTGGGTAAAACATGTGTATTATTGCGTCTGCTTAATATGAATTATTGATAAAACGTTCGTAAATTTATCAAATATTCGTATGGATTTCAGTTCAGAAATACACATGCACCTAGATTGACATAATTAGTATCAGCATGTATATATGGTAACTGTTGATGACAAGACAATTTGTGTTGGATTAGACGCCATGCACCCCGCGAGACGGCCCGTCGGGACATCTGTATGGAATGTTCATTAGCGCTGGGATGAACGCTCCAGAAAGACACGCGTCTCATCTCCCGCCATTAAGACACCCGTCAATCTGTCGTCTGCTCCTGCATCGTCCGTCTGTCTGTTTGTTAGTACACGGCAGATGGGCGCGATCGTCACTGCCAGGAATGTAGATATGCTCTCAGTGTTCGCATTTCAAGAGTCAGTCCATCCCTGTACTGCAGATAACGTGTGACAGGAGAACTGCTTGGAAGGCACGTGGTTACAGGCAGTGGTAAGTGGGGATTGAATATTGGACTGACGCCGCAGCCAGCAATGCAGCGGTAAATCGGGTCTAGACATTGGACCACCAGTGGCTGAGAACGTGAAAAACCACCCACCTCATCGGGTATCGTGACACCCAGTCTACACATTAACCATCCGATCCTAACGTTATCCGGGGTCTAGTGGAGAGAGCGTCTGCCCTGAGAGCGGGAGGTCGGTGGTTCAATCCCGGACCGCGTAATACCCCCAAATGTTTAAATGAGGTACTTGTACTTTGCGCTCGGCACAGAAGGTGATAAAACAAGAATTGTTCGGCTCGGAGTCACTATACTGTGGGGTAGTCATGTTAAACTGCGGCATGGTATCTCAGTGGGCTAGCACTATAAAACCAGCATTAGTCCGGACTAGTACAAGTAGCCACACACACACGTCACTATATAAAAGTGCAACGATCTTGAACGCGACGTTAAACCAATTTTCACCTTCTCCACTTCAGGTGAGCGTGCTATATGCCGCGGAGGCACTATACCTCGAGCCTCGTGAAGATCCGGGGTAGAATAGGTCCTCAGCAACCCATGCTTGCTGAGTGCGGCGTTAACCCCCCCTCCCCCCCAAAATAACAAACAACAACAACAAACCAACAACAACAAAAACACACAAAAAACAACCCAAAACAAAAGAAAACAAAAAACAACAACAAAACAAACAAAACACCCCCCTCCCCCCCCCAAAAAAAACAAACAAACAAAACAAACAACAACAACAAAAAACACACCAAACGAACCAAAAAAAACCCCCAAAACACACAGTCAGCAGTCCAGCCCTGGCAGAATAAAAAGCCATGCATGTTGATAAATTTCCAGAATCAGAGTTGGCATATGAGGCATTTGTTATTTTGCATCCATATTACTACCGTACACAGACTTAATTTATGAAGTGCCTCTACATGTCTGACACTGCAATCACATCACTTGACATACCAACAATATCGCTGGTGTCGCTACAAGATACAAGGCCACTGGGATGCTGCGCTCGGCTCAATGTTTGCTGTTCATGGCGTTGACACATGTATAATAGCTGCCTTGCGTCAGCGGCCATGCTTGTAATGACCACACTGAGTCGGGGAGTGTTTAGGACTTGGCTTCGTCACAACACGACATCCAACAAGATTTTGTTTTTGTTTGTTTGTCGTTTAACGCCGCACGCAGCAATATTCCAGCTATATGACTGCTGTTTGTTAATAATCGAGTCTGGACCAGACAATCCAGTGATTGACATCATGAGCATTGATCTCCGCAATTGGGATACGATGATATGCATCAAACCAAGTCAGCGAGCCTGACCACCCGTTCCCGTTAGTCGCATTTTACGGGAAGCTGAAGACCAATTCTACCCCGGACCTTCACGGGTCGCGTACATAGCTGCCAGGCGTCAAACTCTATGTTTGTAATATCAAGGATGAGGTTCACTTTCTCGTAGATTGCCCCTTCTACTCCGATTTGCGGCATAATCATTTTACCAAAATATATACGACTGACCCGACGTTTCTGGGAAAATCTTCACTACAAAAGGTTATCCACCTGCTGAATTATGACAATAACATCACATCCCTAGCTGCCATGGTGTCGCAAATGTTCGGCCGACGAAGCTCGACACTTGCTTATATATAATTATGTACATTACTAACTTATTTATTAACAATTTCACACCCTTTCAGCATACATGAAAGATAATTGTCATTGTTAGCTTTATATATTTTAAACCAATATCTTAAACAATATTTTAACAGACATTCATTGAATTGTAGTGTCTCATAGGCCAAATCTGGCCAGACACATTTATATGTGTGTGACACTTTAATAAAATATCATCATCTTCTTCTTCTTCTTCTTCTTC